TGGGAGGGAGGTCTCTAGGAATGAGGTGAAGCTATGAATGAAGCTCTCTTGTTATTTTTGCTACTGGGCGCTGCATTTTGTTTACGTAATCTTTTTATAGCCTTAGTATCAAAATGTGTGTGTTTGTTTTTGGCAAGTTGTTAAATCTGCTATTGTTTTGCTATATTATGATGAAATTGCTTTTGTAGTGTTTCTTTGAAGTGCTTTCCTGTTTTCTTTGTTGCAAGCTGCCTTGAGCATATTTTTGTGTGGAAAAGCAGCGTACAAATAAAACGAAATAATGAATGAACTTTGAAAGCATTGTAACATTGATATATGACAATTAAACTTCTTCATCACTTGAGAATAAAAAGAATTGCTTCTCTGGTGTCTGACCTTTCACAGCAAGCTTCCTGTTTCTCCTGTTCCAGGACATTAATGTTCCTCACTACACATATGGATGCAACTTCAAAGTACATGTTCCTGGTTGTTTCTCTTGCTACAGCATGAAAAGGGCCCTGCTCTCATTGGAAAGATATATATTGGACATCCACTGCTCTGCAAAGTGGGAAATACAGCATACAAAAGATACAGATTTTTGCATACCAAATGCACACTAGAAGGTATATGAAGTCTCTGAATCTCCAGCACCTCTGCTCACTTCTAGATTACTGCTTTCTTAAAACCAAATTTCAGCACTGAAACCACTATCCAGTTCAATGGTCATGATATGAGATTATGCACTAGTATAGCTCACTTCCCGGTTACTCGCTTAGCATTCACGTTGAACACTGCAAAGCACGTTACATGTGTTATCTTAGTAATCCTTATAACAACTGGAAGGTAGGCCAGTATTATCGAGAACTGACAGATGCAGGCATGGTAAAACAATCCTCCAGCCTTTCACTCCATCTCTACAATCACCTTCTCCCACACACAAATGCTATCACAGCAAACTCAGATTTGTCAACATACTATCACAAAGATAATGCACTGTTCATCCCTCGGAGGAGTAGTGTAGCTTTGTTTACTTATTTGCTGGGATTTTTCATTAACAATAAATAACTGAAATAAAGGAGAATAATTATAACTAAAATCAGAGCAAAATGTAAAAGTGCAAAGAACAGATACAGACCAACTCTTTGTGCGGTACGTAATTATCGGTGGGGTGGAGGATGGGGAGCTTTTGATAATTAAATTATGTCCCTGTCTTACAGTCTTTGGATTCTGCAGAATAACTGAAAACCCAGTCTTGTGTCTTCAATCAAGATAAGAGGGAAGGGAAGGCAACCAGATGAAGGAGAAACAAGTGGGAAGAAGGGGATGGGGCGAAAATTTATGTATGCCATCTGGGCAAGGAGTGAGATTCCCAGGTGATATTAGCAGCTGTTGTTTGGGGGAAATGTTGTTATAGTCAAGGTACACCAGAAAGGCATCTCATATGCCGTTCAAATTTGTCCAACGTATGCCTTCATATACATTTCACTTTCTTTCATTTCATTGTAGAGTCCTCCTTTTTTTAGGGGAAGAACCTCACAGATCATGGCTCCATGCATTACTAGCCTCCACCAGGACCACCTTTCTCATACTATATATTCTGCGTGTGGTGGAAGGAGGAAGGTACAGTGCGCCGTCTTCTCCATCACACAAATTGTAACACTGTACATATATGTAAGTGTGGGAACCAAATGACAGTGATATCCTTATACCTGTAATATCAAGCAGTTCTCAATTTAATAATATCTACATTACCTAGAAACAAATGGACACCACAAGACCTGGCCATATTTAAAGCATTTTATGGGTAAATCAGGTTTTTAAATTTATTTTTAAAACTATTCAGAATAGCAGTGTCACATTGCACTGAACGCTGTTTCAGCACATAAGCCGTGCGACACAAAAAAGACCATACCTCTTTCACATGTTTTAGACAACTATTTCATCATGTTATGAAGCAGTTGAACTGAAGAGTAGATCAGTTTTGCTTTTATTGGAAGTCTGACTTTTCAGACACAATGCCAAATTAATTTTCATATATATTTCGTGCACACTGAGAAGTGCTTCCTAGCATATGAAATATTATATAGCCATGTGTGAGCAAATGAGTATTATTTTCCTTTTTAAATAACACAGAACATATGGAATATGGATTATATCAGCACTTCTCAAAGTTTCCCACCCAGAAAAAAGCCTCATTTCAACCTGAATATAGTTTCTGTCTAAAGAAAAAACATTATGCACCGCACTGAAAATATAGTCAGTGAAAAAGTCTTTTCTTAGGTATTCCTTTAAGTTTGAATTGGCTTCTTTATTGCATAGTATATGTATATGCATGAAAGTACACAAAGATATCTATATTGGCAATGTGCAAATATATTCAATTTCAAACTACTAATTAAAACACCATAACAACAAAACATATTAGGAAACTGTACAGATCTGGCCACACAAATGGCTAAATCCTATTGGTTAATTGGACACAGAATAAAAAAACCACAACATATATGCTGGAATTTATATAAATTTTCCGCAAAGGTAGTGCTATGACTGGAGGAAGAACACAGCAACACAGCTTTTTTTTCTTTGGTGGGTGTCTGTTAGCAAGAATTGCAATATCCGCCTTAATATCACAATGCTGAGCATATTTCCTCAAGAGTAAGTCTCACTGTGTTCAATGAATCATACTCCCAGAAAATGTGTTTGTGATTGTAGTTATGGAATATTAATAATTCTCTCAAAATATTTTAGAAGTAGAATGGATATATCTAAACAAAATGTAAACTATGTACATAACAACCCCAAAAACACAGAGGCCTATGTAAATTCCATTAAAATCAGATTTCTATGCACATAATCACTTTAATTTAGTAAAGGGAAGGTGCACACAGAAGGTTTTTCTTGTGAAAATCATTTTCTGTATACAAAGGAAAAATGGGCAGTGCCCTTTGCTAGATCCTCTCATTCAGAAGCTAGGTCTTTTCCTTTGATAGATCAGACCCATTCATAGAACCAAAGAGATGGTGTTATAGGGAGCGGAGATAAATTCAGACCCTACCATTTCCCAAAAAAACAGGTGATTATTTTTTTAAGCTTTGCACACGAAGACCTTGCTGCACATCTGTGGGGGGGGGGGGCAATGTATTCAAAGCTAGGGTGACTGAGTCTGGACTGCAACGCAAACATTCACTATTTTACTCACTTGACCCAATGAGGTTAATTATTAATTGCTAACACATCCAAAGTGATTGCAGGATGCAGACCTTAAAGATCAGTTAAAGCCTGATTCTGCTTCATATACTGCAAAACTTGACAGTAAGAAGAACAAATTGCATTAATGTTGTGTTCAGTTTCCTTCAAAGTGAATGTACCATTCTTCCAGCTACATTATAAGTTACTACCAAGTTTATCATTAATGTTCTTAAAGCAGAAAATTCTAACTAGTAGCAGAATGAGGCAGCTGACTAAAGGCATTTAAGACACCTCATATCCTTCCGACATAAAAGAGCTGACAGCTTTTATCTTTTGTATACAGCTTTGAGTTTTGTTTTGTTTTTACAATCAAGCGGTATATAGATTTAAGCAAGCAAGCAAGCAAGCAAGCAAGCAAGCAAGCAAGCAAATAAATAAATAAATAAATAAATAAATAAATAAATAAATAGGGTTAGTAGCTATCTAATATACATGGGCTTATTTTGAAACTTATCAGGATTATTTTTGAACAAAGAGATGGAGAGGAAGGCCAAAAAACCCCCCACAAAATGAAACCTGGATCACCTCCAGGGTAACATATTGTCTTAGCAGTTTCATTGGCAGCCGGCCAGATATGAGAAGTATTATTGCAAAATGAACACAGAGAAATTTAAAAACAAGTTATCATTTAATGCCTCAACCAAAAATACCATTGATGTCTAAAATCAAGAAGACTGTTTAATTAGTAGAATTCTAATGTCTAGACACTGGTCTCAACATTTCATTTTTATCAATATTCTCACTTTTATGGAAGATATGTTTATCTTCAGAAACAACAGTGATAATTAAAAGTTGGGAAAAACCAAGCAAATACTAAAGAAGTGTTTACCATTACTATTATGATAAACCTTTGTTCACCCCAAGTCACTTATTATTATTATTATTATTATTATTATTATTATTATTATTATTAAAATCAAAGTTAGCAGTATTTATGATACTTCTAACAGATTTGCATGGGTAGTTTCATATTACGATTCTTAACGCTATCTCCCAAGTTTAATGCACAGGTTCTTATTCTCTGCATCTTCAATACTAGAAGATTTGTTCAGTCCTGCAAAGATCTAAAGTCAATATCACACTGTATAAAATCCACCTGTGGGAAACTTGCAGAAATAAAACGTGTTTGCATTTTAGAATCCTGTGTAATGAATCAAACCTTTAGGAACCAGATCTGATATGGGTGCAGAGGAAACTATGCATGCTGTGACTCGCTTCCCTTTCTGAATAGCAACTTTCCTACAGCCACCCCTAGGACCTTAACCCTAATGCATCCCCAAAAAGCTTTTCAGTGGCTAATTAATCACAAGTGCATTATACTCTTAGTTTTAGTTTCTGTATAGTTTCCTACAAATAAGCTACTCAGAATAAGCAGCAAGCATTCATCACACACAATATTGTTCATGGTATCTTTTCTGCAAGTTGTGATTTCTTCAAGGGTATTCTGAAGAATGTCCTCCTTGGCCTATTTCTTGTAAAATAGCATTATGTAACTGCATTTACAGTGTGCGTGCAACACCATTAGTAAAGATGAACCGTGCTCTGCATAGTCAGTTTAACAGCCTTTTCAAAATGCAACATTCAATTGTTGACTTCCACCCTTGAATGCAATTGATCTACGCCAGCTAGTGCGAAGCATAACAATTCCAAGGCTCATGGTATCTGAACTAAATAACGGAACACTTTCATTCAAAAGTCATTTTTTTTAAAAAAGAGACACAGTAAAATATTCAGTGGGGGAATACATAAAAGTATTATTTTTTTCTACTTACGTTCACACGTGTCCCCTTTTTGCTGGAAACCAGCTTTGCAGATACACTTTCCAATAGGTACTAACCATTCTCCCTCTGCACTACAATGCATTCTAGGAGAGTTCTCAGCCTCTTCTTCTGCGCTGCTGACACAGGTTCCTCGTACCTCAACTAAGGAGGAGAACTCTGACCCAGTCACTGTATCTGGAAAAATAGCTAAGTTCTCAATAATGGACCAGCACTTCTTGTAGTATACTTTGACAGAAACCAAAGCAATGCAGGCACCTACATCCTGAAATGCAAGGTAGAATCCTTTTTTGGACAGAGGTCCAATCTCTCTCACCTCTGTGTTAAGTTTCATCTTTCTCTCCCCAAGGTCACCTTGGGTAAAGCTTTCATCAGCTGCAATAGTATCTATTTTTACATACAGGTTTTCTCTGATACTCCTGCCAGTGTCATAGTCTGTTTCGTAATAATGCAAGTTGAAAGTTTCTTTACATGTTCCCAGGACTCCAGGAAGGCTATTACAATCCCTCAGAGTAAATTTTAGTTCTACAAAAATCCTTTGTGCATTGCCTTTTGCGATCCAGTTAGTCCGAAGCCAGTTATTTTGGTTAGGTTCCATGACTTGGCATACCTGGTACGTTCGTATAGGCGTGTAGTTTTCATCCAGCCCACTAATTTCTTCCCACTAAAACAGAAAAGAAATAATTATTCATATTAAAATAGGACATTTTAGCATACTTAACAATAAAGCATCTTTCTCAAAATATTGGGGGGGGGGGATTGAACTGTGGTGATGAATCTGATCCAAACCCTAGCAATATCAAAAGCATTTACATGGAGAGCTAGTATACTGTAATAGCCAAAGGAGTGAGCAGCCCTGGTTCTCAATCTTACCTGAACTATGCAAGTTGCATTTTAACCTCTGTCCTATCTAAGATTCAGATTGTGAATAATAACAAACTACTTTGCAAGTTTGCTGCAAGGATTACAAGGTATTTTAAGTGAAACAATTTGGACACACTAAATTGCTATATAAATGATTTTCTAACCATTTACTTCGTCTTGCATTAAATGGGTACTCTAGAAACAGAAACACCGGGAAAATTTTGTCACCGATTCCATGGACTATGGTCTGCAATCTTAATAATTAAAGGAGAAAACTAAGATTATAGAGGAACACTCTTCCAACTGTGATTCGGCAGACATCCTCCCTTTTGACCTCCATGCATCTCTTGACGATTTTATGGCACTAGGCATATACAGTTGTTTACCATTTTCTGGAGTAGATGGTCATTTTAATGATGTTCTGTACTACTTTTAATGAAAGAGAAAGGCTATGTTTTTATATTGCTGTACACAGGACTGGTATTTTAGGAAAGGGTGGTATATGAATACTGTCATAAATAAATAAACAAAACACACAAATTTTGTGAGCCAAGATCTAAAGAGTTTGTGTCTGACATGGCAGATTTTTCCAGATCACTTTCTCAGACAAGCTCAGGGAGGCTGCAATTAGAAGCCCTGCTGGATTCACTAAAGCTTCCTACACAACCACACTGGATCCCAGCCATAGTCTTTGAATTGTGTTATTCAACAGGCACAGATTCACAACACATTTGATACAGAGAAATGGCAGGCAGGTCCATGGGGCTACTGCTGAGTTATGGGCTTTCCATTCTACAAAATCAATCAGAACTTCAGGAGTATCAAAATAAACAAAATGCCTTTAGAAAGATGTAAATCTACAAACAAAGGCTGCAATATCGGGGCTACAATCTGCTATGCAGCCTCTCTGCAGCTGTCTAAGAGTAAAAAAGTATGGTATGTGGAATTTCGAGTAGGTAAAAAGTCTCTGTGTTACAAAGGTATGCATATGGTACCCAGTGAAGCATGGTAGCATTCTAATAATAAGGGACTGCATCTTTAGATTTCTACTTCGTTGAATATTAGAAATCAGAACAGAAAGTTTACATTAGAAATCAACTGTTATCAATTCTAATTGTTTGAAACAGAAACTACTATTTTTTTCTTCATAGTCATTTTACATGAACTGCAAAAACTCAAGAAAAATTAAATTTTTTAATTTAACCAAATTAAATTAAATTTTTTAATTTAACCAAATGTCCTACTTGGTTCACAGTAACAATTCAGGTCCCTAAATTCTTGACACGTAAAAGTCATTCAGCTATGCTACTCTAGTCCAGATTATCTTTATTTCAATGTGTTTTCTTCTGAAGGAAGGAAAATAATAATATTTTCTCCCGCAGGTAATGAATAAAGCTGTTTTGAGCGAAGATTGAGGTGGTTCGTCGGTCGATGAAAAAATAGGTGATTGAACATAGTTCAATGGGAGGGCCAAAGGGCAAGTCCAAAAATATATTTCCAAATCTAACAAATGAAGAAAAATTACCACATTCCATGTGGGAACCATCATATGGCATACAGCCTATCGCTGACAGGCTTATCACCTTACAGCTTTGATCCTGGAATTGCATGAGGTGATACAAGACAATTATCTTTGATGAATTACCACATGATTATATTGCTTCGTATAACCAAGTTATGACTGCAATTATATCCAAAATGCAATCTGAATTAACCCTTTGGAGTAAAATAATGACATTTAAATTCGGCTTATCTATTGAAACTGATATTAGGATAAAGCTTACATCTATATTGGAAACTATCTAGGTATAACTTTTCAGATTTTGTTTTTGAAAACGAAGGAATATATAAAAGTTAGTAGTGGAATAAAGTATGCTCCTTCAGGCAAAAGGTCAAGGCTATTTTTGCATATCCCCACCCCCACCCCTTGTAGTCCCCATGCCTCTACAAATCTACTCAAGAAGTTTGGGAGATCCTTCAGAAGCGTGTGGGAGATGGCAATGTGGGATGCAGGGGAGAGGAAGAACAAGTGAGAATTGTCTCCTTACTTCCACCCAAGAAAACATCACGTTTGTGGAGCAGTAACCCCTGTCAGATGCAATTTTATTCTAAGAACAGAAAGAGCGTTTCCAAAAATGGAAAAGCAGGTCTGGATTCAACCCAATGATTTTTATTATTTTTTGGCAGTATTATTTCCTTAACATTGAACAGGCCTTGGAGTGTGAATCAGGTTGGGTCACAATCACTCATCTTCTTGTGGGAACAATTCATTACTCAGGACCAGTTATCTGTAACACTTAATGATTAAGAACAGCTCATATGCATGTGCCCTCCTAAAAAGAAACTGTTTTTCTCCTTTCTCTTATTATTTGCAGTTAAGTGCTAGATCAGTATTCACATTAGGTGAAGTTAATAGTAACACTTATTCAGGTTTTGCTAACCACTTTCAAACCCTGGTCAGCATCAGCCACTCCTTTTGTTTTGTGCTCACGGGGTGCTTGATTGTTGTCAATGCCAATAGGTAATGAGCAGGTGGAATTTTTACCAGGTGACAGAAGGGGCTGAGTGGGGGATCTTGCAATCACGCCCTGAGAGAAACGTGAGCTTGAAACCCCTGCCATTTTAACCATGGTTAAGGGGCTGCTCAGCATTATATCTACCCCAGTCATCACTATTAATGACTCATGGAAGGCAAGCACTAAGGAAGACTGGCCTACCATGCTCAAAGCCATGTATCACACAATAGTTCACAAGCCTATTTGACAGCAAATGAGATCATTTTAGTGTTAGTCCACTGCTCTAAGAAAAGCAGACATTGATGAACTGATGCTGGAACTTATTACCACAAAATATATTATGGTTGTAAATGTTGAAACGCACAGAGGTTGTAAATATAAAACTGTATTTTCAAAGCACTGCAGTATTTATGTCACAATACGCATGATACGACATGTTAGCTTAATGAAATGCACACTGTTGCTTTAGTGAGTTGAACTAATTGCCCACTGAAACTTAATATTCCCTTTAAGAAAGGAATCATGTGAAGCTACATTATATTAAGTCACACGAATGGTCTATATAGCACAGTACTGCCAACTGATTGGCAGGCAAATGGCTGCCCCGCCCTTATAACCAAAGTTCTTTTTAAATGGGGATGAAGTCTGCAATCTTCAGTGGTACAACACATGCTTTGTATACTGAGCAATGTTCTCTTCTCATTTCATTGCTTAGAACAGTACATAACACCAGGTTTGGTATTATGAGGGAAATATGTTATCTGTCATAACTGTGAGAAAGGAAACCATCTGAAGACATTTTCATACTGAAAATTCAAACAAATTATGTATATTGCAAGTTAAGTGTACATATTTACTTTCTTTCGTTGGTTTGAGTACCAGTAGGTAACTGCAATTACCCTTTCTTAATTTTAAAACTCTATCTAAGCCAAAACTGATGCTTGTATTTAGCTTAAAGTAGGGACATAAGAGACAGTCACCTTGAAATAAAATGTTTCAATATATTATATTAATCTCCCAGCTTTAATGTGTATATAAACAATTGCAGAAATGTGCTGATTATCAGAAGTATGCTACCAGTACTTTCTAGAATTACATATAAGAAAACACATTATTGCCTATTTTGCAATTAATAATGGAGACTTTGGTTTGATTTTCTTTGGTTTCAGAACATGCACTAAGAACACTGAAACTATTTTTTCCTCAAGAGCTGTCAACCTCTCCTTGAAAATGTGTTAAGTTCACTTGACAATGCTTGGACTCTAGCGCATACAGCAAATAAGCATAATAAATGCAGACATTGTGGCTTTTTATTTGCTAGATGACACCAGTATTTTTTTTCTTTGTCAGGGGTACAATGCTTTTCTTTTAATCAGTATCTTAAATATGACACTTACAGCATGGACTACCACTGAAGTGTATTCCCATCACCTTTCCTGAAACATTTTATATCCCCAGCCCCCAAACATGTGACCATGCCTTTATGCAGTCTACCTAAAATTGTTCTTTCCAACACACATATGAAGTTATTATTCGTCTTAAACTTTCAGCTCACATTACATTTCGAAAGCCTTCAAACTTACTTTCACCCTATGTTGGATTGAGTTTACGATCTTGCTTTTCAACTAAGACACTTACAGGTTTTCATTCTTCTTATATACAGGATTTGTTACACTTTTGTATCCCCACTCACAGTTCATGCTCTTTCAGTTCCACATTTCTTTATAAGCTTTGGATTAAAGGATTGATTGCGCAAACCTTTATTCACAGGCACTCAAAGAGACTGTGTGATTTAAGAACTACTCTAAATGGTGGGCAACCCAATCCTCAAAGTGCTGAGGCAGCAGAAACCCTTTTAATTAAATCAAAATTTCATCAGAGGAAAATTATTAAGGACGCTTACTTATTTAAACTGCCCATATGATATAGTTTCTAGCGTGTTTCATTTTTAGAAGAATCTAGATTCTTTCATTCCATCATATTGTTTCTAAACAGATGTGAGATGGGCGTTTCTCATATGATCAAATGAACGGGGGAAAAGGAAGTCTAAATAGGAATGACTTAATTATATAAGTAATGTCAAACTACATCAGGATAAGTTTGTTAAGTAAAGTTCTGAAAATAAGTACATAAAATTTCTGCTTTAATGGCAGCAATTTTTGTATCTTGATATTTAAGTTCCATAAAAAAAAATGTTTCTCATGTTTTGAAAACACCCGTATTATTAAATTATAGAACACAGGTTTGAACTATACCTCCTTTCCCAGGAAAAATGTTACACTGACAAACATTTTGGAAAAATGTTTAATTTAAACTGTGTTTGTGCAATTTTTTGGTGCAATTTATTTTCTCTTGTTCTTGTGGTATACTTACCCCATTAGGAGGAGAAGAAATCCATTCCAACTCTGTCTGTTGTGCTTTAGAATCCAACAATATTACTGAAAGAGAGAAAAAATATTTGTGTTAAAATTATTTTAAGTTTCATTTATTAAATTATCTTTCCCTAAAAAATCAATTCAAAAAGTATTAACACAGAGCAGCTGGATGAACTTCCTCAAATGCAGATGACTAATTCTTCAGGTATAATTTATTAGATAATATAAAACAAAATTCTATTGGGAAATGACAGAAAATACAAAAAATATATTTTCATTTTCATTAAAGTACATTTCTTATGCAACATGCATTTATATACATTATAATACATTAAGTTACTTTTTAATTTTTTAACTATGTAATAACCTACTGTGATCTGTACTACTCAAAGATGTATTAGAGAATGTGAGTGACAATAATGTTTGTGTGTGTATATAAAACAATATATTATACCGGGATGTCAAAAATAATAAATCCAGTTAATTTGGAAATTTTCATAATCAAAAATATACATATATCTTAGCTTTACAATTCTTCATTATACAATAAAGTATTAAAATGCATATATGCATATTGAGATCCAGGAAATATATTTCAAAAAGACGAAGATGAAACTGACAGATGTTGGATGCAATTGGAGTGGGGGGGGTTGCCATTTCAGCAAAACAGAGACTACACTTCTATTTTTTCCTATACAATTTGTTATAAATTACAAGTACTGTAAACTTACCTGCTACTTAGAAGTACTGTTATTTTACAGTAGTCCTCAGTCCAATAAACAAAATAAAAATAGAAAAGGGCTTATACATGGGTAGTAATATAAATTTATTTATAATTTGCTGAATATGAGTACTATTGAGTATTATCATAAAGCTTTACTGACACATTAGTGCATTTAGTTCCACACCACCTCTTAAAACTGTTGGTCAGTATTTAAACTTCAAATAATGAAATATTATTTCAAATCTGCTAACTGCAGATACAAACTTGGTGTTTCTTTTTTTCTTTTTTACATTGACATGTTTTAGTCAAGAGTACATTTTACTAATCGACTGTTAACAAAAGCACCTTTCAGTTTAAAATAACCAATTAATATAAATCAATATACAGCCTGCAGTTCTCTACACAGTTAATTAGCAGTAAATTATATTGAAATCCCTGCCCAAGTGTGTAGCTGGCTGCAGTCTTAGATTTAAAAGTACTTCTTGCCATGAGTACCATTTGAAATCTATCCATGCACGTTGACATATTTTGTAGAAATAAGCAAAAATAAACTTCCCATCATAAAAAATAGAACTTTGTGGAATATATTCAGGCATTGTCTAATTTTGTAATCCAGTGTTAACCATGTGTAATGGGAGTAATCACTATTGATTTTAATTCAAATTACTTCCAACCAAAGAGGAATGCAGCCTTCCAACCTGATCATCTATGCTCACAAATGTGAGAGTCCCACTTAGGTGCTTACTCTCAAATAAATATGCACCAAGGGTTGCAGCCCTACACTTAAGTATATTGTGGAAAGCTTATTGTTTTAAAGAATCTTTTTGTATCCTTACATCGTGCCTTCTCACTGAAGTTCAGGCCCTACTCAAACTTTAAAGAGCTTCACTTTTCATTTAGTTATTTATTTAATTAAGCCAGGTATCTAAGGGACTTCAGCTATTAATGGTCTCTAACTAGGAGTTAATAGAGTTCTGTGTATTGCTGTTGCTAATTAAAGACCATGCTGATAAGCTTAGCTAAAAAAAGTCATAGTGCAGGTTTAACCCTCCATGTCTCCATCAGTACATCTATTGAAAACAGGTTGTAATTCTTTAATTGCACTAAACATTCCCAGTGGTACTCAAACAACCTAAACATGTATTGTACACAAAATTATAGTGAAAGGGGTATCTCTCTTCTGTGTCTTGAGTACGCAGAATACAAGTTTTAAAGTGCTTAGTGTGTGTTAACTTGATTTTTCAAAGTTATGAGAATAATCCTATTTTATGATACTGACTTTTAAAGAAACAACAACTTTTTGGGGAGAGAAAAAAGAAATACTTCCACAGGTGCTGAGGGACCCTTTATTCAAGTTTCACAAGCAAACTTCCCTTAAGTTTTGCCAAGTGCTCAAAACAGAGGTTTTTCTTTTCCAAAGAAATAAGTCCCTCCAACAAACCAACCAACTCAAACCAGGTCAATAACAACAGAAAATGAAATACATTTTAGATTCTGTTAGAGAAAGGCCTCTAATGAAATCTGTAGCCCACACATCGGCCAATTCCAGCTTTGCTGCAGTAGTCAGATCCCCCACTGATCAACAGCTCAAAAATAAAGGACAGCCAGTGTAACTTGCCAGATAGAAAACTATTTCATGAACGGTGGTGCTACTATATAAAACTAGCTGTACCTAATGGAGCTACTTTGGGGGGGGGGGGCGTCAATTATAACCTTTGGTACCCATAAAGCAGAGCTTTCCAAACTTTTCATGTTAGTGACACACTTTTTAGACATGCAGCATTTCATGACACAGTAATTCAGTTTTATTATCAAACTGGAGGTTAAACCAACCCCTTATAAGAGCACGGGGAGCGTTTGCATGACACACCTACACACTGCACCCTACACAATTATATGTCGCAACACAGTTTGGAAAGCTCTGCTATATAGGTATATAGTTTTTGCATGTTATTTTATTATGCTATTTTCTGAAGTTCTTCTCCCCTCTTTCGCAACCAGATAACAGTACACTGAAGTGAGTGCCAAAGAAATTACTCAACACATTTTCACACCCGATAGCTATTCTCTGAATGGTTGATCAACTCATCCCCCCAGCTTAAAAAATAAAATAAAAATATATCTCCCCACCCCCTACTGCTGTAAACACACTGTTCAGTTTAGGACACAAGTCTGACTGGGAGCCATACCGTCTGGTTTGGATCCATCGTTGGCCCTATGGATGTCACACAGTGTGATCAGTATGTCAGGGGGAAAGGAAAGAAGTCTTGGGACACCTTCAATAGTGCGAATCTATTAAACATTTTTAAGGTGTCCCAATACTTTTTTGTTCTCACCAGTGACCAGTGCATCCTACCCAAAGCCTGAATGTGCCACAAGACTCCTTTCTGCAATCTCCTTTAACAATCTAACCAAGAGCCCCTTTGGCATTGCCAGCGGGGAATGTGTGTCACTTTGCACATGCTCAGAGGCGCTGATTACTACTTTTCCCGCACCAGGCCTGGAAAACAGCAGAAGCCTTTACTCAGAAGCAAGCCCCATCTGGTTCAGTGCAGCTCAGCCTCGAGTAACAAGCGCAGCCGAAGCCTCAGAGCCAAACAAGCCCCGAGCACAAGCGAGTTATGTTTTGGAACTCAGTCCGGGGAACTCGTCTGGCCCGGAGGAAGGAAAAGGGAAGCGGAGCATCTCCTCGGGGCTCCATCCTTCCCTCAGGCGACTGAAAAAGAAGAGGCATCTCTGCTCCGAGCACCCAGGAGAATGCCGCCTCTCTCCCTCCCTCAGGAGGCGAGCAAGACTTGCGCCTTCGCTCTTCGCGCCTCGCGCAGCCGTCCCCGCTCAGCTAATGAAGTGACGCGGAGGGGGCAGCCCGTTCCCGCGCTTCTCTTCCTCCTCAGCGAGCGCCTCCGCAAGCGCCCCCTTTAGCCTTTGACGCGGAGTTCCCCGACCGGCACCCGAGCTGAGCCGGCGGGATTTGGTTCCAGGGAGCGGAGAAGAAACCCCCGTCCGCTGGCCGAGATGGAAGCTGCGACCCTGGCTCTCCCTCCCTAATCTCCATAGCCACTGAAGGCGAGTCCCCCTTGCAAACGATCGTCAGGAAGTTGTGGGGCTGGCTGTGCCTTCCCCCTCCTCCCCACAGGATTGTTTTTCTCTTGCCCCCCCTCAAACCCCACGAGGCCCCCCTTCTTTTAAAGGTGGCCTTCATACACACCACCGTGGGCAATGAAACCTTTTTTTTTTTTAGTGGCTGGCGATTCCCCCCCCCGGTCTTCCCGGACCAGGAGGGGGACTGAGCAGGGTCTCCAAAGTTGGAGAGGAGTTTTGCGAGGCTGCCCCAGGTGAACTCCAGAGATCACACCACACACACACGAGTTGGGTTTTTTCTCCCCCCCCCCTCCAGTCAATTCACAAATCATAGACACAACAGGGTGGCTGAAGTGACACCGGCTTCGGTCTGTCCGGTGTCCCTCCCTCCGCCCCTCCAATAGGGCACCGCGTGAGGAGATGCGGGCTTCTTTCGCACCCCGGATGCCGCCCTCTCGGGAGCCGGGGCACCGCTGCCCGCAGCCTCCCCTCCTCTCCTTATCCACGCCAGGTTTCCCTCGGCGTTTTCCGCCTTCCGTTTAAACTTTCCACAGCCTGCCGAGCGAGAGCGCCTGATTTCGCCCTCTCTCCCTGCTGCCTAGGTACAGAAGAGGAGGACCCGTCCTTCCTAGCTCCGACTATAGGCTAAGCCATGCATTTTACCTCATGCCTATAAACTCAAAAACCGAGAATGTATGGAGTGGGGGGGGGTCCTCTCCCCCCTTCCCACAAAGACATGATATCCCCTCGAACATGTATGTTCCCAGCACCTCACATTTCCCGCAAGGCAAGGCAAGAGATGTATTTTACATCTCGTGGGGAACCGTTTCCTTTCGCAGGTCTGCGAAACTACGGTTTGCAAACGACGGAGGAGGTTTTCGAAGCCCCCGGTTGCCATTCAAGAGGGAAGACGCCGAGGAAACAGATTAGCTCCCTGCCATACACAGAAGCAGCCTATGGATTATGCACAACAGAGGGCGCGGGTGGGGGGGGGGAGGCAAAGCACATCTCGTGAAAATGTGCACACAGCTAATACACACACGCACGGAGACTGCATATGTGATGCAAATAGTTCTACATGAGGCTGCTGCTGCTGCTCCGCCTGCTCCCTCTCCTGCCTCTCGGACTGAACGCCGCCGCTCCGAGAGCTGCAGATCCCGCTATCGATACGAAGCGGACAAGTCAGACTTTCGGATGAGCTGCTCTAGGTGACACGGGCGACTCCAAAGAAGCGCCCTCGCTCCCCACCCCAAGGGATCACATCCTCCGTCCCCAAACTCCCCTGCAGTCATGGAGTAGCTTCATTCCTCCACAAACTCCAGCGGGGGGGGGGGGCGGAATCTTTTCATATTTTATTATGTCGGTGGTGGGGCATCGATGCGGGGTAGAACTGCACTGCTTATGCTATCAGCCACCTTTTAAGTTGCCCCCTAATCGCGATAGAAGAAACTCCCCAGCGGTCCTACCGATATGCGCCCCCACCCCCTCGTCAGCCCTGCACAGACCTGAAACCATCCCAGGGCTTTGCATCACGTGCACACCTTACAGACCTAAATCCTGATAGGAAACGCGCCGTTCTTTACAGTCACGCAGACACAATCGGGGTGCAATGGGGATCCATTATCGTCTATGAATGAGGTGCTCGCTCCCTTGCCTAGGACTCGGCACGGGGCTGCGGGTGCCCAGCGCTGCCCCTTTCATCTCTGCTGGGCTCGAGAGGGAGAGGGGAGAAGGGGCTGCATGCAGTTGCAATCTCGGGGAGCAAGAATAAACACTCCAGGAAGCCCTTGCAACGAGATAAACTTTTGTTTTCGGCATCGCCTTACCTTCTTTCGCAGCCTGTGCCTCCCCCGTGTGTGCAAAGCGAAGCAGCCAGACGCAACACAAAATAATCCATGAAGGGAGCCTACTTTGAAAAACCATGGTGCATGAGGTGTTTAAAATATATCTAATTACATATATATATTCGAGAGAGAGACTGTGCGCTGGTTGCTGTTGCTCCCGCTGCTGCCACTCGGTGGGGATTAAAGAGCTTGTTCTGTAACGTGTTTTATTTCGCAGCGCTCTTGCCCAGAGCTCGCTCTCTCTCCCCGGCTGCCTTCTTCCCCTTGCCTTACTCGCTTTTTCTCTCCGTATTTGCTGCCTGCGAGTCTCCGACTGCAGACCGGCCGCTCGCACCACACTCCAATAATATCAATAGGCGCGGGGGGGTGGGAGGAGGAGGAGGAGGAAAGGGGGCCGGGCCAAAGCCGGGGAGAAGAGCCCGTCCTTCAGAATGACTGGCAGGAGAGCCCAGCCTACGAGAAAGCCGGATTCCGAGTTCTGGAGGCACGGCTGGGCAATGAGTCGCTCGGACGGCGGAGGCGGAGCGAGGCGTCTCAGCCAGTCAGCGGCGGAAGGTGTCAGGTTGCAGCTAGTCCCGGATTCCCCTTCTGGTGCTCGTATTCTTAGCGCTCGCTGGCGGGAGGCGGGCGTGGGTCTGTCTGAGGGTCAAGCTGCACATTTAAGTTAAGCGGGCTTTAAAAGTGCGAGGCTGGCGCTGGCACTTTTTTTTTTTTTTAAAAAAGGAATAGCAGCTGATGAGCAGCTGTTACAACCGAGGAGATCAAACTGCAAGGAGCAGCCTCCCCATCTTCCCTTCCTCTTGCAGCAGAGTTGGAAACGAGACCAGGCAGAAAGCGGAGCGCCTCCTCTTCTGAACTCCGCCGCTTTGGCTGGTGTCCATTCCGAGCTCCGAGCTCTTCCTCATCCCCTCTGGGCACTGTGGCAGGGACAAGTCGGCCCATGGGGCTGCCTAGAAACAAAATGCAACCAGTCACCTCTGTCAGCCCGGCTCCCTACCCCTCCAGGAGGTGCCCCAGGCAGGGTTGGGCGTGGAAAGAGCAGCCAGCTGAACCTCTGGCTGGCTCACCTGCACTCTTGGTGGGGCAGTGATTGGGTCCCAAAAGGCCCACCCTTCCCTGCGAATGGGAGGATGAATGGGCTACTCCTATAAAGGGCCATTTTATTTTCTTGGCTTCCTCCCTCTGCGTGGCCTTAATGGACACACAAAAGTTGAGGGAGCAGGCAGAGATGGTGGCTGGTCCTCCAGTGAACAGTCAGTGCCGTGTTGTGTTCCCTTGTTCCTCTCTGAGTGGCTCTGGCGGTCCCAATCCTTCCTGCTGCTGCTGCTGTAGCAGCAGCCAGTCCAAACTTGCAAGGGTGAATGGGCAGGTTCAGAGCAAGAGGGCGGCTGAATTGTCACGGGCAGCAGCAGCAGCCAGCATTTGTCCAATCCTTGCTACTGAGAAACAGAAAATGAGCAGTTGTGGAGACAGGAGCTGCTTCTGCCAGAAATAGCCACGACCTCCTGTCTCACTGAAGCACAGAAGGAAAGATAAGGTTCACTCTCCACCACTGTGCTGCCCAGAGGAGGATTTGGAGAGGGTGTGTGAACTGGCAGAGGGGGCTGCTTACATTTTCTCTCTAGGCAGCACCATGGGCCAAGTTTGTGCTGACAGGTTCTCCAAAGAGAGCAGAGGTAAGAGCAGCCTCCAGTTTCTCTACCCTGAATGCTTCCCCAGCCGACTTCAGAGGAGGAGATGCCTTGTCGGGTAGGAGTGGGTGTTCCTGACAGCAGGGAATCTCTCTTCCTCCTTTCCAGCTTCTGTTGCAGGGCAGGAGG